GCGGGGAGAGTATGAGTACACCATTCGGCGGCCACCTGTGATTACTCCTACGGTAGATTCTTGGAAACGGATGAAGGCAAGATATTTCACTAACGGCCAGGGGATCAATTTCAGCTTCGAGTATGAGAATCTGCGTTGCTAGTCTCCGCATGTCGTTCTGTACGGGCAGTGTTGATTGGACTTGGCCACGCGCTTGTGTACAGCCAAGCTGGCAAAAGAGAGGACCGAATTTCTGGCATTGTTGTCCTCTCTTTGTTCGAAGGAACGACGTCACCAGATGGGGGAGATGGCAGAGAGAGAGAGAGAGTAAGGCATATGAGGAGGAGTTGGGATGATGAGGAGGAGGAGGAGGAGGAGGAGGAGGAGGAGGAGGAGGAGGAGGGGGGGAGGAGGAGGAGGGGGGGAGGGACGACGACGAGGACGACGACGAGGACGAGGACGAGGTGGGCGCGAGCAAATAAGAACGGTCTCAGACATCCTCGCGGCGGAGACGGTCCCTCTGGCCATCGAGGGTGAGCGCGCGCTAGCGGGGAGGGGGGCATGTCAGGGCCAGAGGCCCACCTGGGGGAGCGCCAAAGTTCAGAGGGCACCGCTCGGATGACAAGGAGGAGGGCAAGGGGGTGGAATGGGAGGACGGGTATTAGGAAACATACGAGTAATTGAAGAAGGAGGAGGAGGAGGAGGAGGAGAAGGATGGAGAAGGAGGAGGAGGAGGAGGAGAACCATGTCCTCCTCCTCCTCCTCCGGGGACGACGAGGAGGAGACGGGGGAGGAGTAAGGGGGCGGAGGAAGGGGCGGGGGAAAGGGAAGGGAATGGGGGAGAGGGAATGGAGGCAGGGGAGGACGAGGGGGGCAAGCTAGTGAGGATGAGGCGGAGGACAAGGACAACTAGACTGATGGTCGGGTCATGTGTTACGCTTCTCAGATTCCCTTACATGTACGCCGCCTTTCGCTGCCCAAGCGCACTGCGGTTTCTGTGGGATGTCCCATTTTCCCCGTGCTGGGTGTCTTATCGCCTTGCCTTCACGCTAAGATTACCAGTACCTCTAGGGTGCATCGGCCAAGATAGTTCCCTGTTTGATCGGGTAGTTAAGATGTCTAGGGATATTCGGGGCAACCTGTTACAATGCTTGGGTTCTTGGTCAGAGCCCCCTTGGATGCTTCTTATGTCGGGCCTCTGCGTGTTCAAGTGCCTTTTCGGGCATCTTGGGGCCGCTTGGTGGCGTCTTGGGGGCCTTTCGATTTACCTTGGAGGGAAACGTGACCAAGAAGGCCAGTTCGATTTCCCCCTCTTGAGACCCTCTTGGGCAACTCTTGCGTCTTGGGGACATGTTGGGTATTTTTTGGGCCTTACTGGACTGTCCTGAAGCTTGCTTGGGGGCTTCTTGGGGCGATCGTTGAGGCCTCTTGGCCCGTTCTGGGCGTCCTGACGCACGAGCGCCTGGGAACCCCAAACTCATATTTCAAATATGGGAAGTAATGGTTGTGGATCCCAGAGGTCCTCTTGGGGGTCCTCTTGGGGCCCCCTTGAGGCGACTTGGGGTCTGAGCGTGCCGTCTTGAAGCTTTCTTGGCCCGTCTTTGGGCCTTTTGGGGTCGTAAAGGAGGCTTCTAGGGCTATGTCCGAACCCCCTTGGAGCATCCGGGAACACTTCTTGAGCAGATGAGTCCGTCGACCCCGTCGGCCAGGACTCCCCTTCGAGTCTGTCGGCCGGGACCCCCAAAAAGTCGTGGCGGGACTGGGCTTTTTTGGACGTGGTTTAGCGTCAAGCCCAAACTCCCTTGAACGATAGCCGCCCAGGCGAGGAGTTCGGGCAGAACCAGCAATCTTACACGCAGATGAGGGAGGAGGGGGAGGTGGCGAAGTAGAAAAGGAGGATGAAGAGTGTGAAGATAAGGTGGAATGGCAGGAGGAGGCGGCGATAGAAAAGGAATATGATTAGGAAGAGGAGGAGTAGTAGAAGGAGACTGGAAAGGAGGAGGGGTACGAAAAGGAGACGGGGGAGGAGCAGTTGGAGGAGTGAAGCTGTCATCGAGCGAGGCCAATCGCAGATTCAGCGTAGTGAGCGGCCAACTTCTGCGAAGTTGGCTGGACATTTCGTATTACCTGGCCGGGGACAACTCACGAGCCCGCAGCACGCACACCACGTAACCTATGCTTGTTTTGTCTCCTGAACCTGTTTCCGGCGCAGCGGGGCAGAGACACCCGAGCGAGATGGCCAAGCAGAACCTTTGATTTTGCGTGGTGGTGGGGAAAGGGCCGTCTGGTGGTGGTGGTGGTGGTGGTGGTGGTGGTGGTGGTGGTGGTGGTGGTGGAAAGGGCAGCATTAGCAGCAATAGCAGCGGCAGTTTGCAGCAGATGCAGCAGCAGTGTGAAGAAGTGTCAGCAGCCAGAGCCGCAGCAGCCATCATCAGGCGGCAGTGTGCAGCAGGGGAAGGCTCAGGAGCGACTTGAAGACAACCCAGAGTTTCCCCCACACCACGCAAAGGGTCATGGCCTCTTCTGCGCAAGGTTGGTGTAGACCCATTTCATCTCGAGCCAGATTCCCTGCAGATGCGCTCGGCTCCGTTCCTCCACTCGAGGATCTTCTTTCCTCGATTCCTCAAAGACGGTGCCTCAAGCATGCCCCTCCCTTTCCTTGAGGACCTGCCCTGCAAGGCATCGCACGGTAGTAAGCCAAGCCGTTGCAAGACAGATTCAAGCACAAGTGGTGCAATCCGAAGTAAGTCAAGCTAATCCGAGTTATAGTACAGCAAGGCAACGCACCGCTGTGGCATGTGACATCGGGCTCCTTCACTAGCTGGCATCGGATTTGCATGCTCGTCAACTTGGCGTTCATCTTCAACCTTAGGTTGTCTTCAGCTCGTGTTTTACCCGTCGGGAGCTCGTGATGCAGGGTCGCGCCAGGTTCATGGGGTGACGGCTTTGCATGCGCTCGAGTCCCCCCCACAGGCAAAGCCCTTTCCGCCTTGTTCCAGAAGTTCCAGGCGACGGACCATTTCAATTGGATTCGCAATCATCGCCGTCTCCGCCGTCCTTCGCCAAATGCTCCACTCCTCTCTCTCTCTCTCGCTCTCCCTCTCTCTCTCTCGCTTTCTCACCGTTCTCTTTCTCTCTATCCCGCCTCGTCCTCTGAACAGCAGGGGGATAAATTATGAGGGGGGAAGTGAGGATACTCTCCTCGTTTGTTGCTCCTCCATCTCCTCATCACCACTTCCTCATGCTCCGGAGGGGGGATCTGAATGGAGGGGGATGCGGATGCGGAGGACATTTGAAAAGCATCTTTGCTGGGAGGAGCAACTGCGGGCGCCTTCTTTAACTTCCTGCCCGTCGACACCTTTCCTTGTCATTCCCCCCTCCTGCCTTTCCCTCCACACCCCCTTACTTCCCCTCTCCGCACCTCAGTACTGCCCCTGCGTTCCCGGCGGGGGAAGTGGGCCCGTTGGCCTGGGAGGCTTGGGAGGCGCAGCAACCTTATCATCCTCCGCCAAGAGGAGGAGGAGGAGGAGGAGGAGGAGGAGGAGGAGGAGGAGGAGGAGGAGGAGGAGGAGGAGGAGGAGGAGGAGGAGGAGGAGGAGGAGGAGGAGGAAGGATCACAGCCTGGAGGTCATGAGGAGTGCTCTGGGGGGCCACGCCCGCCATCTCCATTCCTCCGCCTCCTTCGTCATTCTGCTCCTGCTCCGCCTCCATCCTCCCTCGATCCCCCCTCGCTTCCGCTCGCTGCCGATCTACAACTATAACTGATGATCAATTCTCTCCTCTCCCCTCAGGATCTGTAATTATTTGCCACCGCCTATCCCATATATGGTTATCCACACATGGTTGTGCAACTATGGTGTTTGACATGTCTTTTCAAGTCAGAACGTTCTCGGCCCCTCAAGCTGTGTCCTGTGGCTGCAGCGCTGGTCACAGGTATTCATTCCCATGTAGCTTCCGTCCAACGGATCGTCGCTCTTGCCGCACCGCTGGTTGCATTCTTGCATCATCAAAGGTGGCATTATCATCTTGCGTTTACTACGTGTCGGGATTATCATTGAGGCTCCTTCAACGGAACGTTTTCCCACCTCGGCTCTAGCCGTACGCCCGTGTCCGCAACAACATATCTGCGGGATCTATGTTGTCTTCGGCAATCAATGTTGCAAAACGGGGAAGGGGGTGCTCAACTTCATGGTAAGGGGTGGGAGGGACGGTATGATGTCAGATAATGCTCGAGCGCACCAATCTGACGTTGCTCTCTCTGCTCGTCTTCTCCCTGTTACTCTCTGCCCTTCCCCTTTTTTACCTCTATCTCCACATCCCATTCCGCCCACCCCTCGCCTCCACCACACTCGCCCCTCCCTCCGCCTTCCACAGACCCCGCATACCGCTTCAACCCGCCGAGTGATTGAAACTGTTGCCAGCTCTCGCATATACCATCCTCGCCGTCGCCCATGTTCTGTTATGCATGCTCAATTTCTCCGCAAAGATTTTTGTTGGTGTGTCTGCTTTGCAGCCTGTCCTTCGAGGTTCTCCGCTTCACTGCTGACATACACAGGAAAGCTGCGTGCATGGCACGCGGCCAGCCACGGCAAACGCCGGTCAGCATTTTTTTTCCCAGCGCTCCGCTCTTCTGTGGCCATGGCACCCCCGCCCTCCGCACGTGAATCCAGCGTGTGGCTCCCATGTGCCGAAAGCTGAGTCCAGCCATGTGTGTGTGCGTGTGCGCACATGTGTCCCAGCTTCCTGGTGGTATGTGGTGCTCGTCGCCTTCGTGGGGATGCTTGTCTGTTTCTTTTGCAGTGCAGGTTTTCATTGATTTCGCTTTCGCTGTGGCCGTGCTGTGCTCGTTGTCAGTGGCACTCAGATTGACGCAGGCAGGAATCGTGTGCCCTTGGGGCCAGGGGTGTATGGACAATAATGTTCCCAACGTTTCTTGCCGTCCTTCGCAGGGCAGGCCATGGCAAGTACTCTGTCATCCCGACCTGCCTCGCCCAATTTGTCTCGCCGCATTCTCTCCACAGATGCCTGGCTACGTGACGTTCTCCTGCAGGAGCAACACTGAGCTGTGCTCTGGCGAAAAGTTGCGCGAGGAGGGGTAGCGGTGAGAACAGGATGAAGGGTCCGAAGACAAGGCAGCGATGAAGAGAAATGCTCGCCAGTGGGCGTGGTATCTCGATAGCCTTGAAGCTTGCATCGTCGCTGTTTTCATTCAGCTAGCTGCATTCAGCACGGGTCGGCATTCACCACACGATATCACAGTATTGACAGGCTGCTCTCTGCACTGGTATCCCAACAACATGCCCGTCAAGCGCATGATTGTTTGGTCTCAAGCTTCTTGGCGCTATCAATTGTGCGGTATTCTTGCTGGACTTGTTGGTGCGCTAACGCGCGTCATGCACCAGCGAGGGTGTATAATCGAGTGGCTTTGACAATGAGTCTCTTTAACATCTTGGTCGCAGAATGCTTGCGTGGACTGCTTGCGGTTCACACAAACAAACGCGCTCCGGCAGACTTGTTTCATTCATTTGATGATACTGGGAAGGCCTTACGACCGATGCCAGTGACCATGAACGGGGACGGCGAGGACGACGAAGGACGACGATGATGGCTGCGTGGGCGGCGACGACGACGCTGACGCTCTGGGGTCCTTCTTCGTGTCTCTCTTGGGAACCTACTGGGCTCTGCTGGGAGGGCCTCTTGAGGGACTTCCTGCGAAGCCGCTTGGCCACTTGGACCCGCCTCGGAGCAGATCTGAGGCCTCTTGGAGGTATGTAGGAAAACACGCAACACCCCGCAACAGAAGATGTGAGTGAAAAGGATGCCTCTGAGGAGGGAAGCCTGGGAGGAGGGGGGGCAGCTCGTTTATGTGGATATATATATATATATGTATATATCCGTAAGGGCTTCGCCGCTTGCCGCCAGCCCCCACTCTCTATCATAATGGGATCTAACAGAGTCGCGTCGGTGCGTCTCGGCGCTGCCTTGGCGCATCTGGGAGCAGCATGCAGGGGCGGATAGGAATCATCAGCGCATATTGAAACGTTGGCGTTATTGAAGACGCCTGCGGCGGATTACCGCCGCCCCCTGCCTTTTTGGAAGCGCCTGCGTGGCCGAAGGTTTGGTCTGAGCTTGGCCAAGCTATCGGGCCACGCGTTCACCGATTGGGTTTCGAAAGCCTTCGGGAAACACGGAGTCGGGCGAGCTATCGGACCAGGTGGTTTCCGAGCTCTCCCAGTGCTCCACGTTTTGAGGTTACCGAAACGCTCCGAACGTTTCGTAACTTACCAGCGCCCTGACATGTGAAAGAACCACTGCACGTGCGAAGCAGAGCTGGACCAAGCGATGCCACTATGTGTCACTGGAAACGCCTAGGCGCCAAACATTGAATTGGAGCTTGCCCCAGCTATGAATCCACGTGTTCCCCCAATAGGTTTGGAAAGCCTTCGGGGAGCACGTGAAGAGGAAGAGGCAATGAGAAGAAGAACAAACACAAAGAAGATAAGAATGAGGAGGAGGAACATAAGAGAGGATGAGGAGGAACTGAAGAAGGAATAGACCTTTTGGGAGTCTCTGGAGAATCTTGGGGTCACCTGGGAGATTCCTGGTTTCTTGGCGGCCTCTTTGGCTGCCTTGGGACGGTTTGGGCCCGTCCGACATCGTCGGAGGCGGTTCTGGCCCGTCTGACGCCGTCGGAGGCTACCGAGGGGAGCCTCGCTGGAGTGGGGCGTTTCTACGCCGTCTCCTGGAAGCCCTATGGCCAAACGTTTGGAGCTAGAGGCAGCATCTTGGGCGCCTCTTGGGCCACCTTCGGCTCTCTTGGGGATAGTTCTGCCGTCTTGGATGCCATCTTGGTCGTCTTGGAGGTCATCTTGGCAGTCTTGAGGTATCTTGGAGACCATCTTGGCCGTTTTTGAAACCTCTTGGGCCATCTTGGGGCCCTCTTGGGACTGGCTTGAAGGCCTCTCGGGCCGTTCTGGAGCCATCTGTGAGGCCTCTGGGACTAGTTTGGGGACTCTTTGGACCGTCTTAGGCGGTCGGAACACCAAAACCGAGTAAAAACAACAGTCCTTTCAAAACCCAAGGAAGATTGAAGATTTGGGCTCCCTCGGGCCTTCCTGGAGCACCTCTTGGACTCTTCTGGGGCAATCTTGGAACCTCTCCGGCCCATCTTGGGCCATCTTGTTCGTCTTGGCGGCCATCTTGGCCGTCTTGAACCTCATCTTGACCGTGTTGGAAGCATCGTGGAGGCCATCTTGGCTGTCTTGGAGGCCGTCTTGGGCGTCTTGGAGGCCTCTGGAGCCGTCTTGGCGCCATCTTGGGGCCATTTTGGAATCCTCTTGGGCGCTACGGGGGCGATCTTTCAGGCTCCTTGGGCCGTCGTGAGCCGTCGGAAGGCTCGAACAGAAAAAAAGCCAAACTCCTTCAAAGACCTCAGGAAAACATTGATTTTAACCTCTTCGGGATCTCGTGGAGGACCTCTTTGAGGCCTCTTGGGCGGTCTCGGAGGCCTCTTGGAGGCCTCTGGGGCCGTCTTGGGCCGTCTGAGAGGTTTCTTGTGCGAACTTGGAGGCATCTTGGACTCTCCTTGACCGTCTTGGAGGCCATCTTGGACCATCTTGGGCGAACCTGGAGGCCATCTTGGGCCACCTTGGCCATCTTGGAAGCAATCTTGGAGCCATCTGGAGCAGGAAAAACATTAGAACCACCCTTTCCAGGCCATGCCGGGACCCGGGCGGGCGGGGCCTAGTTCTTTTGGAAAAAGAGCCAAAGCCAAAAGCGAAAGGAGTCAGCATGCCGGGCACCCCTGTGATGAATCAACAGGGGGCGGCGGATCCTAGTGTCCTTCGGCCGGCCCATCCCGCCACCGTGTCTGGGTTGTGGGTATGAGGCCTCTTGTATATGTGTTGGAGTGTCGTGGGGAGCCTCTCGGGGTCCCCTTGGAGGCGGTTTGGGCGCTACTTGGGGGCCTCTTGGGGCCTCGTGGGGTATCTTTTGGGCTTCTTGGAGGCCTCTTGGGCGCGTCTTGCGCGCCTCTTGGGGCCTCTTACAGGAGATCGTGGCCTCGGGGGCGCGAATGTGGTGTAATGTACGGGGGATCGCGGCCTCGGGGGCGCGAGGGCGGCGTGATTTACGAGCGTTCGTGGCCCCAGAAACGCGAACGTGGAGTAATTTACTACGAATCGTGGTCTCGGATGCGCGAAAGCAGTGTAATTTACGAGAGATTGTGGGTTCGGGAGCGCGAATGTTGTGTAATTTACGAGGGATCCTGGCCTCAGGAGCGTGAATCTGGTATGTATCTTAGAAAAAGAATCGTAGCTTCGGGGACGCGAACATAGTTTAATTTACCGAGGGTATTGGCAGCGGGGGCGCGAATACAATTTAATTTAATCGCTTCGCTCATTCCGCCGGCCCGTATTGTGCCATCGCAGGCGTTTGCTTGCGCGTTCGTGGCCTCTTGGATCCTCGGTGGGGCCGTTTGGGGCTTCTTGGCGTCTCTTTTTAGGCCTCTTGGAGAACTCGGGAGGCCTCCAGGGGGCCTCCTGAGCTCTCGTGACGGTCTCTTGGGGGGCTTTCGGCGGGCTCTTGGCGGTATTTGTTGGTCCTCTTGGGGCCTGGGGCCTGACGTTGTTGGTCCTCTTGGGGCCTCACGGGAGCTTATTGGGGCGTCTTGGGGGTGTCTTGGAGAGTCTCTTGGGGCCTCTTTCGGGGTCCTGGGCGCCTTCTGGGGCGGAGGGCTCGATTTTTCAGTTCTCGGTTCCCTTCTTGAGCCCCTCTTGGGCCCGTCTTGGGGCCTCTTGGTCCGCCTTGGGCAGCACTTGGGCCGTCTGGGGGGCGCTCTTGGGCCGCTCCGGGGCCGTCTTGGGAGCCTCGTGGGCCGTCTTGGAGCAGTCTTGAAGGCCTCTTGGGCCCTCTTGGAGCGTCCGGAAGCGAAAAGGCCAGAACGCAAAAAAACATCGAAAAAACCAATGAAAATCAACGATTTTGGCAACTTGGGGCCCTCTTCGGAGGCCTCTTGGAAGGCCCTTGGAGCGTCTTGGAGGCCTCTTGGGCTGTCTTGGGGCCATCTGGGGCGTCTTCGGGCGATCTTTGGCCGTCTCGGGCCTCTCTTGGACCGTCTAGAAAGCTTCTCGGGGCCCTCTTGGACCGATCTGGAGCCCTCTTGGACTCCGAAACAGAACTCCGGCATCTCTGACCCGACCTTGCCGGGGACTTGCCGGGGACTTGCCGGGACCTTGCCGGGGTACTTTTGGCCCGGGGACCCCCAGGGGCCGCCCCGCGCGCGCGAACTAGAAATACTGTTAACCAGGTACCGGAGATCTTAGCACGCCCTGGCCCGTTGAATTTACCGAGGGTATTGGCAGCGGGGGCGCGAATACAATTTAATTTACAAGGAATCGTGGCCTCGGAGGCACGAATCTCATGTATTCTGTGTCCCAAGGCCCCCAGAAATTCTGAGAACCCTCCCGGGGGAGGCTAACCAGGGCGGTTTCCGGCTCCCCCCCCTCGCGCGGACAGTAACAATTTACAAGTAGGACGCAGAAAGCAAGATTGTAACATTGGAAATTGGAAATTGAACCTGGTACAAGGAGCAGCAAATCTAATCCTCGCAGCCTGATGGCCCCGCAAGGGGGCCAACGGATATATTCATGTTCTTCGCATACGCACACGCAGACATGCATACACATGCATACATGTTTGTCGGTCACGCGCGGCTGGGGCGGGAGCCACTCGACCAATCCAAGGGAGACGAAGTCAGACTAAGATAAGCTACTAACGGTCGATTCTGGTGAGCGGGCAAGGAGGAAGAGTCGGACGGCTACTGGCCCCTCAGGGGGCAGTGGCGAGAGGCGGCGGGCAGCGGACATTGGCGGGGAACACCGGGCATCGGTGCCAAAAGGGCGTGCACCCACGCACACACAGACACACATACCCACTCGCGCACAGTCGCCATGCGCCTCTGTAGTTACACGTGCATGCGCTCAGCAGAGTACTGTAAGCAAATGCGTCTTTGATAGTTGTTAGCACATTAGCAGTGACGCCAATATAGGCATGTACGCGCGCATGCGTACATACAGTGGCTTGGTTGGCTTTGTGTGAGAGGGGCCCTGACCATAGTTGCAGGAGGAAGTGCTTGAGAAGAATGGGTAGTTGAGGAGGAGGAATCGGGGACAGAGGATGAAGAAGAGGAACTGCTGGAGTAGCAGGGCGGAGAAACGATGGAGTGGACGAATCCATGCAGAGAGAAGTGGAGGTGGTGGATGGGCAGGGTGCTGGTATGATGGGATGAAGGGGGAGGGATATTGAAAAGGATAGTGACGAGGACGAGGAGACATCACCTGATACAGAAGGTGACGAGACAGGACCAGGAGGTGAAGGAAGCGGGTGAGAGGCAGGAGGACGAGGGGGATGCCGAGTAGGAGCACGAACTCGCCGTGGGGAGAGGGAACGACGTTCGGGGGAGATGAGGTTGCGGAGGAACACAAGGAGGATGAGGAGTCGGATGGGGACGGCGTAAATACGCCTCGTGTTGCGGGCTGCAGGAGAGCAGGTGCAGATGTGTTGTGGAACTCGCCCTTTCGAGGCAGATCTCTTTCTCGCGACCGCTGGGCCGGGGTGCACTCGGGCTTGTCCTCCCCACCCCAGCCCCCCATCTCACCTCCCCCCCCCTCTATTCCCTCCTCTCCCTCCTTCGTCCCCCTCGCCCTCCCCCTCCCAAATCCTCCTACTCCAACTCGTCCTCCTCCCCATCCTTGTCCTCCGCGTCTTCCTTTCACTGGGTACGGTCGGTCCTCCTCTTTCTTCTCCTCCTCCTCCTCCTTTTCCTCCTGCTCCTCCTCTTCCTCCCTCCCCGACGACGATGGGACGACGACGTTGACGACTACGACAACGACGTTGACGACGACCACGACCACGACCACGACCACGACCACGACCACGACGACGACGACGACGACGACGACGACGACGACGACGACGACGACGACGACGACGACGACGACGACGACGACGACGACGGCGACGACGACGACGACGACGACGACGACGACGACTGGCCCTCGGGGAGGCGGTCGCGGGGCTGGAGTTCTCAGAATACCTGGTCGGGGTGGGTGTCAATGCCAGCGGGGCTGCCGCCACGTGCCGCCGTCGCGCGCGCCGCGGGCGGGAGAGGGAGCGGAGGAGCGCAATGGGGGAGGAGGTGGTGCACGAGCCTCTCCCGCTGTTCCCTCGTCCTTTCGCGCTCCCCCTCTGCCTGCGTGTGTGTGTGTGTGTGTGTGTGTGTGTGTGTGTGGGTGTGTGTGCGTGTGTATGTGTGTGTGTGTGCTTTTGTGTTTTATCTCCAGCATGCAATCTTCCGGATCATCGTCTAGGCCTGGAGGAGGAGGAGGAGGAGGAGCAGGAGCAGGAGCAGGAGCAGGAGCAGGAGCAGGAGGAGCAGGAGGAGTGGGAGGAGTCGGAGGGAGGGAGGGACCAGGGAGGAGGAGGAGGTGCACGACGTTGATTGAGGAAAATGAGGAGCACGACCACGGCGATGACGGCGGTGACGACGACGTGCATTATTCTTGCAGCGTGTTCGTTGACTACGCCTCCTTCTGGTAACGGCGACGGGGGGTATAGAGGGGAGGTGGCGCAAGAGTCCCAGATTGTCCCCCATCTTGCAATCCAGCCTCTTGTTGGTCCTCTCCCTGCCCGCCAGCATCAATCATCATGATTATATTATGTGTCCTTCTTCCTCCCGGGCCTACTCCATCCAACTCTACCCTCCCTGCTTCTCGTCCGCATCTTGGTTTTTCAGGCTCCTCTGCCTCCTTTTCCTCTCCTGCTCGATCGTCTTTCACCTCACTCTCGTATTCGGTCGTCCTCCTCCCCCTCCTGATGATCCTCCTCCTCCTGCTCCTGCTCCTCCTCCTCCTCCTCCTCCTCCTCTCCTCTCCTTATCTTCTTCCTGGTGCATGGCGCCGACTCCCCCATCCTGGTGCCTCCTGGAGCCTCCTTAGCCATTGTCTTCTTCGGGCTCATCGTCGTCGTCGTCGTCGTCGTCGTCGTGGGAGGGAGATTCATGCACTGCACCTGGTCACCACCCCGCACAGCGGCGGTGGGGTCTCGGCGGGCTGCACAGCTCCGCAGCACGTCGAGAGCCTGATCGGAGAGGCGAAGGCCGGCATCGACGATGCGAGGCCGCCAAGAGGGCGCCCAGGGTGCCACCGAGAGGGGGCCATCACGTGGGGGCGAGGTAGGAAGGAGGGGAAGGAGAAGGTGAGAAGTTGTTGGGATGGCTGCTGGGATGGATGGATGGATGGATTGAGAAAGGAAGGGAGGAGGACGTCCGCTCGGAGGAGTGTGGGAAGAAGGGTCGCGCAGAGGGGGGGAAGGAGGAGAAGGAGGAGGAGGAGGAACAGGAGAGGGAGGAGTGGAGTAGGATAGTGGTAGCATGGCCGCTGCGCGTGCAAATCGAAATGTGTATGCAATGTGTCTCAGCGCGCTCGCAGAGTAACTATGTCGAGTAGGAAAGGAGGGATGAGCTACAAGTGATTGTATGGACTATTTGGGTACTCTTTGAGTGTCAGTTGGGTTCTGAGTGTTTCTGGGGGCTTCAAGGGAGATAATCACAAGCAGGATGCGGAGGAGAGGGAGGTGGAGGAGGATGAGGAAACGGAAATGGCAGAGGTGGATTGGGAGCTCGAGGAGGATGTCGAGGAGGAAGGGACAGGAGGGGTGATGAGTACGGCCAGGAGGAGGGTTTGGAAATGGATGAGGAATTGGAAATGGAGGAGGAAACTTGACATCGGGAACCCGGAGAAGAGGAAACCTTCGACGATGATGAGGATGTTGGCAATAGTGGTAGTGATAATGCTGATTATGAATATGGTGACGCTGCTGATAGTTATGGTGACGGTTGTGGTGGTGATGCTGACAAAGTTGGGGGTGATGACGATGGCGATAACGATGTTGATATTGGTAGCGGTGAGGATGGTGTTGATGATGTGTATGTTGATGGCGATGTTGAAGTTGAGGTTGATGTCGTTGATGATGAGTATGTTAATGGTGGTGCTGATGACGATGGTGTTGATGATGATGGTGACTGCGGTGGTGGTGGTGATGATGCTGATGCTGATGTGGATACTCACGATTGTAATGGTGGGGATGATGATGCGTCTTGTGATGATGATGAGGTTGATGATATCGATGATGATGGTGATGGTGATGATACTGTTAGTGATGGTGATGATGATGCTGATGATGATGTTGGCGATTCTGATGACGATGGTGATGGTGATGATCATGCTGGTGATGCTGATGATGACGACGATGCTGATGGGGGTGGTGAGGAGGAGGATTATTATTCTGATGATTATGCAGATGATGATGATGCTGTTGTTGATGATGATGTCGGTCATGCTGATATTGATGATGACAATGATGTTGATGATGATGATGCTTGTTGTGGTGGTGATGGTGGATGGAAGTGATGATGATGGTGATGATGGTGATGGTGGCGGTGGTGCTGGTGGTGTTGATGGTGATGCTGGATGGGTGATTGCTTGATTGGTTTTATTCGGTGATGCTGGCGATGACGATCGCGAAGACCACGCGGGGGCAAATGCGCGTGTTCTGCCTGCCCAGAGAGCGGTGCCCGCACGCAATGGCGCTCTTCCCCCAGCTGGGGTGCAGAGCACACCCTTGCCGTGCGCTCGAGCAGAGGGCCCGAGGGGCACCTCGGCCGCACGCAAGGGGACAAACTCAGTGGGCGGGAACACACACCCACGTCCACGGCCTCGCGGGCCAGGCTCCTCGGCCGAGACCCCATGGATGCGGGGCGGCTCCGCGCGGATGCCCCGCGCGGAACGCATCTCCATGCGATCGCGCATCCATGCGGTTGCGCCCCAGCATCGGGAGCACGCGAGGGTACGGATAATGCTCGTCGCTCGTGAGCTGCGAGCACCCACGCGCCGCGCACCAGCACGCGAGGGCCCCCGGGCGCCCGCCGCGGTGGGGGGGGGGGCACGCGGGAACGGCGCTGCCTTGGCGTGGCGCTCAGCCCAACCCCTCCCCGGCCCCGAGGGCCTCGGCCTCCGTTCGAAGGCCTTCGGGCCGCAGAGGCAGCTTCGGCGACCAGCTGGAGCTCGCCGACGGCCCGCTTCTGTCTGGTAGACGGGGTTGCCGCCACGCTGCGGGCCGTCCTCGGGCTCCTCCTGCATCTCCTGCACGCACGACCTCGCTGTCGCGCCGAACTGGCTGCGGCAGCTTCCCAGCCGAGGCCCGCTGGGTTGGCGTGCGTTGGAGGTCCTGCCTTGTCGTGCCGCTCGTGTCTTGCGGGGCGGGCGGGGGTGCGCCCCATCACTCTCGCGCGTGCCGCAGCTGGAGAGCTCTGCTCCTGGAGGTTACGCTCGAGCACGTTCCCTTTGCACCAGTGGCTAGCATCAGTAATTATGAGTACGGGAGGCTCGTGTTATCGTGTTACATTTGAAAGACTCTCGAGCACCAGGAGAGTACCGAAACTTGATGGTTTTCACGTTCTGGGCCCTGGGAGGCTGTCTCGATACCTTTCTGGGTGCTCGCAATTATGTCTGGGATGTGCTCCTTAAGTGCGATGGGAGCAACGTCAGGCTCGTGTCGTATCGACGCGGCGCCGACCCCAGCGCGGGCGTTCCAGGCTGAACGCCGCCAGTGGCCTGGAGTCGGCCGCCGTCGAACGAGCCGCGGTACCGGAAAGCCGCGCTCGTTCGGTGCTGAGCGGTACGCGTAGCGTCGGGGCCCAACGCGCAAGCCGCCGCGGCCCAAGCCTGCCGCACTGCCGAGACCTCCTCGCGTTGGGACAAAGCGTCGGAAGGTGTTTTGCTGTTTGCGGCCTCCGGGGGCCCTTCCCGGGCCTCGGGGCCGTCACAAAACGATTCAGGATGAAAGCCGGCCCCGGGGAAGGGGTCCAGACCTCTGGGCGTCGACGTTGCGACAAAAATCACGACGTCGGGGGTGTGGGCACATCTCTCCGTACCCCCCCCCCTCCTTCCCAGATTTCCGACGAAGTGCTTGCGTTCGCAGCGTGCATCCCCGCTTCCACTGGGCTGGCTTGTCATCCCGAGCCATCGGTTGACGGTCCCAGGTTCCAGTGAGGGCGCCCAAGAGGCCGAACATGCGGAGCGTTTCCCCTTCATGATCTCTGTGCAGGATGAGGGGGGTGCCTGGGCGCCTTCGAGGGAAGCTGCCTCTGCCAGGCAGGCGCGCAGTGACAGCGCGGAGTCGGACGCCGCGTTCGAGGCGGGGCCAGCCGCTGGGGAGTGGGAAGAGGAAGGGGAGATCAGATGGTCAGGAACTTCTCGGCGACTATCTAGGCCTCCCAGATGGGATCGGAGTCGATGGGGTCGGAGGATGGCGCCGCACCGCCGATGCATCGGCGATGCGGCTGGATGCGAAGCCCGATTTCATTCACGATGACGTCGCCGATGCGTCACCGACGTCGCCGATGCATCGCAAATGCACTGCCGATGCATCGGCGATGCGTCGGCGATGCGGCGCGATCCTGCGACCCCATCTACTCGGACCTCATCTAGGCGGCCTCTAGGCTACTGCTGTGGTTACGCTGGGGTGTGGATTGCGATCGGCACCGTTGGGGCCTGAATTGTACGACACTGTCCTCGTCGGGCCTCCTCGGGGCGCGGCGGAGAGCTCCGTCGAGGTATCGAGGTCTCCTCCCGCCCACTCAGGATGTCCCCCAGGGTGCCAGTTGCAAGCCACACCCTTTGCAGACCACCCCCGTCGGAGTCGCCGACTTTTGCACAGCGTGTCGCGCCGATGGCTGTGCACGCAGGCCACGCCACCGGCCGTCGGCGTGCCGAGCTCGAGGAGATCATCCGTGGTCGCGAAATCCTCTGCTCAGCGTGTTGCGCCGCCGGTGTTGGCCCACGACCCTCCCTAGCGACATGAAACCGAGTCTCGGCCACCAACCATCAACCCTCCGAGCTTGCGGCCATCATATAGTCAGGAACTGTTGCACACCAGGTCGCGCCGCCGGTTCTGGCCCATCACGCCTCGGCGCGACGCGTGAACCGCGTTTCTGTCCTAAGCCATCAGCGCCCTGACCTTTTCCGAGCTGCCCGGCCCACGTAGCAGAGCGGCACGCCATCGTTTCGCGGGGCATCGGGTGCGGCAGGGATTGCCGCCGCCACATGCTAAGCAGAAGTTTCTGACCGCAGATCACTCGCGCCTGCCATCAGCGGCTCGGGGTGGCTGAAGAGCCACCCCGGCGAATGCAGTCTTACCACCAACTATTTGTGCACCTCGAGGCTGCCACGTCAAAGCAAGCAGAAGGATGAGCAGGAGTTGCAGGTGGTGGAGGAGGAGGAGGAGGAGGAGGAGGAGGAGGAGGAGGACGACGAGGAGGAGGAGGAGGAGGACGACGCCTGCAGCCCAAAGATACAGTCCGAAACAGTCGGTACAGCAGTTTCGCGCACAGCCAAGCACCGCTCTCGTGGAGGAGGCGGCAGGCGCCCGTGGCAGTAGTTCTGCCGCGCTCTCGCGCGCATATATTGCAGGCGACCGCCGCGCTTGGACAAAGCGGCAGAGCGGTCCTCCTGCTTTTGGCGCCCCCCCCCCCCTCGCCCTCACTCCTCCGCATCTGCTTCTCCTCTGCGCGAGCCCACGCGGAGGCCGACGGCTCAGGGGCACCCGAGGAGGAGGAGGAGGAGGAGGAGAAGAGGAGGAGGAGGAGGAGGAGGAGGAGGAGGAGGAGGAGGAGATGAGGAGGAGGAGGGGAGGAGGGAGGAGGAGGAGGAGGAGGAGGAGGAGGAGGAGGAGGAGGGGAGGAGGAGGAGGAGGAGGCCCCTTGCGTAGCACTTGTTTTCAAGCCCCATTTCGGCGAAGTCGGCTGGAACGGTGGGCGGGCAGCACAGCAGACGGATCCAGTGCCATCAGTGCCAGGAGTAGGAGGCGGAGGAGGATGAGGAGGAGGAGGAGGAGGAGGAGGAGGAGGAGGAGGAGGAGGAGGAGGAGGAGAGGAGGAGGAGGAGAGTAGGAGGAGGGGGAGGGGGAGGGGGAGGGGGAGGGGAAGGGGGAGGAGGAGGGACGCGCCCGAGTGGTAAGTCTTGTGGTCCGCCCCCCTGGGGGCGGCTTCAGGAGGCCATATGAGGCCTCTGGAGGCCCAGCGGGAGAAGACCGTGAGAAACCTGCCAGGGATCGGCAGGCGGTTTCATGATGTCGGTCGCGGCCGCCTCATGACCGCCCCGTGAGCTGGCCGGTGGGCGCTCGTGGCCGCTGCGTGCGCTGCGTTCCACTGCTCCACAGACTGCACCAACCAGATTGCAACCAGATTGGTTGCGCCACGCAAGTTGCACTACATACTCCAGATTTCGTAATAAAGGGAGGGGGGTCTCCTTTCGGGGGGGGGGTCTCTTCCAGGCTATCTTGGAGGGCCTGGGGGGGTCTGGGGACGATCTTGTGGAGGGTTCTCCCACGGGGGGGGGTCTGAAATGGCTTGTCTTGGAGGGTCCAGACCCCCTCCCTTTTATTACGAAATCTGGAGTAGCTTGCACAGCATGAATTGTCCTCCGTTCGTGCGTCGCGTACGCTGCATCGCCTTCACTGCCCGACATCGGTTGCAGCCTGTAGCCTGCACCGGACGGGTTGCGACTCCTAGATGTCACCACGTAGACTGCACCGTATTGACTGCAACGCGTAGGGCTCAAACATATTGCATTACAAGGAAGGCACACTGAGAGTGCAAGGATTCCTTGTTGTGGTTCCACGCTGGCAGTCATTTCAACGTCTCACATTCCCTCTCCTTGCTCATTCGACTGTAGCATGATTGCTCAGTAGCGGCATACACGAGGCATCTCAGTTCATGTCCTGCATGAGTACAGGAGTCATCTGGCTCGTCCTGTCATGTACGCACTTTCGTAGGCCTCTCCCCTTACGAGGTCAACATCGTCGTCTATCCCAACCTGGGTGAAATCTATGACGGAGAGACGAAGACTTGGAAGAAGGACCCTGCTCTAGGCCTGCTTGTTGTTCCTTCCGTTCTGGGTTTGCCAGAGAGTGTCCAGTTGTGTTTGCATAGGACAGGCGCTCGTTGCGCCAATGCCTCTCAGCATGGTATTTTGGCGTGCGTTCGCGAGAGCGCGACAGGTGAGTCTGCAACATCAGGGGTGCACTAGAGGAGAACCTGGGACCAGCGCCACCGAGAACCTCTCGGGTGGACCCACCCCTGGGCGGTGGCGCGCCTGTGCGTCGCCCGGTACTGGGCGACGCTCAGGTGTGCAGCCTCCCAGGGGTCGTCCCCCACCCCACCCCCGACGGTTTCTCGGTCGCGGTGGCATCTGTGTCTTTTCTCGGCGGCGAGCGAGGCGGGGGAAGCGAGAAGGAAGAGGCCTTCTCAGAAGGCGGCGGGGCTTCTCAGAAGTCCTTCGGCCTTCTGAGAAGTTTTCTGCTGCGTCCCCGGGGAAAGCGACGCTACTTCTCGGTAGGCCAGAGGACTTCCGAGCCTTCGGAGAAGGCCCGCCCCGTTTCGCTCCCCCTCCAGGCTGGCCGCCACTCTTCTGAGCCGCCGGACCTGCCCGCAGGCCCGACGTCCTTCACGGACCTGGCGCAGAAGTGGCGGGAGGCGGGGGCGACCTGGATCGGAGGCGCCCCCCGCCCACGCCGCCCTTTAAACCCGCCGTCCGCCTCTCCCTCGGTTTCGCCCGGGCCGGGCGAGGCATTCGAGCATGAACACGTGACGCGCGCCAGCAGCATCATGCGAGAGCCTCGGTCTCCCCCGGGCGCACGAAGGTAATCGCGTTTCGCGGGTCGTGACCTGGGCCGTGAAGCTTCCCTTCTCCACGGTGGCCTCGCGAAGGCGCGGAGATAACCTCGAGTCGCGCATCGCGGGACGCCATGCGCGAAGATAGGTTACCTAGGATCGCGGGCATCCCCCGTCCAACGCCGCAGTAGGTCGCAATCGCGGGGCAGCAGTGGCGGGCCGCGCGCACAGCGAAATCAGCCAATCACCCAGTGAGAGAGCGTGCATCAGCGCGGCAGTCCCGGGCTGGAGGCAGACCAGGCAGGCCGAATGCGAGGAGACGCGAGCATGCGCGAGCTCAAGCGTGCACACAGGGAGCATCCGAACCAGCAGCCTCATCCACGGCGGGGAGCCGCCCTCCCGACGCGCGCCCCCCCAGAATTAAGCTAACGGAGTTCCCCACTTAAAGATGTTACGGGGTTCCATTGCTTCTTGTCTGCGCTCTGGTGGGGCCTCCCTGGAGGGGTGGGAGGGGCACGAAACCTGATGAATAATATGGTGTGCGAATACCCTGCCCGCTCTGGTGGGGCCTCCCTGGAGGGGTGGGAGGGGCACGACACCTGATGAATGATATGGTGTACGGATACCCTGCCCGCTCTGGTGGGGCCTCCCTGGAGGGGCGGGAACGGCACGAAACCTGATAAATAACATGGTGTGCGAATGCCCTGCCCGCTCAGGCGGGTCCTCCCTGGAGGGGTGGGAGGGGCACGAAACCTGATAAATAACATGGTGTGCGAATACCCTGCTCGCTCAGGCGGGGCCTCCCTGGAGGGGTGGGAGGGGCACGAAACCTGATAAATAACATGGTGTGCGAATACCCTGCTCGCTCAGGCGGGGCCTCCCTGGAGGGGTGGGAGGGGCACGAAACCTGATAATAACATGGTGTGCGAATACCCTGCCCGCTCTGGCGGGGCCTCCCTGGAGGGGCGGGAGGGGCACGAAACCTGATAAATAATATGGTGTGCGAATACCCTGCCCGCTCTGGCGGGGCCTCCCTGGAGTGGCGGGAGGGGCACGAAACCTGATAAATAACATGGTGTGCGAATGCCCTGCCCGCTCTGGTGGGGCCTCCCTGGAGGGGTGGGAGGGGCATGAAACCTGATAAATCATATGGTGTGCGAATACCCTGCCCGCTCTGGCGGGGCCTCCCTGGAATGTTGGGAGGGGCGCGAAACCTGATAAATAACATGGTGTGCGGATACCCTGCCCGCTCTGGTGGGGCCTCCCTGGAGGGGTGGAGGGGCACGAAACCTGATACATAATATGGTGTGCGAATACCCTGCCCGCTCTGGTGGGGCCTCCCTGGAGGGGTGGGAGGGGCACGAAACCAGATAAATAACATGGTGTGCGAATACCCTGCTCGCTCAGGCGGGGCCTCCCTGGAGGGGTGGGAGGGGCACGAAACCTGATAAATAACATGGTGTGCGAATACCTTGCTTGCTCAGGCTGGGCCTCCCTGGAGGGGTGGGAGAGGCACGAAAACTTATAAATAACATGGTGTGCGAATACCCTGCTCGCTCAGGCGGGGCCTCCCTGGAGGGGTGGGATGGGCAGGATACCTGATAAATAACATGGTGTGCGAACACCCTTCCCGCTCTGGTGGGGCCTCCCTGGAGGGGTGGGAGGGGCACGAAACCTGATAAATAGCATGGTGTGCGAATACCCTGCTCGCTCAGGCGGGGCCTCCCTGGAGGGATGGGTGGGGCAGGAAACCTGATAAAATCATGGTGTGCGAATACCCTGCTCGCTCAGGCGGGGCCTCCCTGGAGGGGTGGGAGGGGCACGAAACCTGATAAATAACATGGTGTGCGAATACCCTGCTCGCTCAGGCGGGGCCTCCCTGGAGAGGTGGGAGGGGCACGAAACCTGATAAATAATATGGTGTGCGAATACCCTGCTCGCTCAGGCGGGGCCTCCCTGGAGGGGTGGGAGGGGCACGAAACCTGATAAATAACATGGTGTGCGAATACCCTGCTCGCTCAGGCGGGGCCCCTCTGGAGGGGTGGGAGGGGCACGAAACCTGATAAATGCATGGTGTGCAAATACCCTGCTCGCTCAGGCGGGGCCTCCCTGGAGGGATGGGTGGGGCAGGAAACCGATAAATAACATGGTGTGCGAATACCCTGCTCGCTCAGGCGGGGCCTCCCTGGAGGGGTGGGAGGGGCACGAAACCTGATAAATAACATGGTGTGCGAATACCCTGCTCGCTCAGGCGGGGCCTCCCTGGAGGGGTGGGAGGGGCACGAAACCTGATAAATAACATGGTGTGCGAATACCCTGCCCGCTCAGGCGGGGCCTCCCTGGAGGGGTGGGAGGGGCACGAAACCTGATAAATAACATGGTGTGCGAATACCCTGCTCGCTCAGGCGGGGCCTCCCTGGAGGGGTGGGAGGGGCACGAAACCTGATAAATAACATGGTGTGCGAATACCCTGCCCGCTCAGGCGGGTCCTCCCTGGAGGGGTGGGAGGGGCACGAAACCTGATAAATAACATGGTGTGCGAATACCCTGCTCGCTCAGGCGGGGCCTCCCTGGAGGGGTGGGAGGGGCACGAAACCTGATAAATAACATGGTGTGCGAATACCCTGCTCGCTCAGGCGGGGCCTCCCTGGAGGGATGGGTGGGGCAGGAAACCTGATAAATAGCATGGTGTGCGAATACCCTGCTCGCTCAGGCGGGGCCTCCCTGGAGGGGTGGGAGGGGTACGAAACCTGATAAATAACATGGTGTGCGAATACCCTGCTCGCTCAGGCGGGGCCTCCCTGGAGAGGTGGGAGGGGCACGACACCTGATAAATAACATGGTGTGCGAATACCCTGCCCGCTCAGGCGGGGCCTCCCTGGAGGGGTGGGAGGGGCGCGAAACCTGATAAATAACATGGTGTGCGAATACCCTGCTCGCTCAGGCGGGGCCTCCCTGGAGGGGTGGGAGGGGCACGAAACCTGATAAATAACATGGTGTGAGGAAAGGCATGGTATGGTATGGGATGGTGTATGCATGGTATGGTATGGTAAGGTATGGTATGGAGTGGCATGGCATTGGTATGGTATGATACAGTATGGGATGGTGGAGGAAGCGGGAGGAGGAGGAGGAGGAGGAGGAGGAGGAGAGGATGTTCTGGGAAAACAAGAACCCCACTCAGGATGTGGGGAAAAAGTCTCGTGCCCGTAGACGTGTGGACGCCGTGAGCCGCCGACGCTGGCTCGACGGCGTGTCCCCGTCTTGCTCGACGTCCTCGTCGCGCCGTTTCCGCCCCCTCCCTCCCGCTGTATCCGCTATAGGGCGGGCCGTGGCAGACCCGGGCGCCAACGACGAGCGCCGGGGGGGCCCCACGGCCCCCTCGAGGCACGCATCGGAGCAGCAAGCGAGGCTCCACCCGCGAGGGCCTGCGCAGGGGGCGGGCGAGCGCTCCCTTCCTCTCGCATGGCCGCAGGCCTCGACGGGTCGAGGCACTGGGAGCGGGACAGCATCCCTCTCCGGCTCGTCCAGCCCAACATCGAGCAGTGTTGGTGAACTTCTCTGAGGAGGGGGAGGAGGCGGAGGAGGAGGAGGAGGAGGAGGAGAAGGAGGAGGAGGAGGAGGGGGGAGGGGAGGAGGAGGAGGAGGAGGAGGGGGAGGAGGAGGAGGAGGAGGAGAAGGAGGAGGGGGGGAGGAGGAGGAGGAGGAGGAGGAAGAGGATGAGGAGGAGGAGGGGGAGGAGGAGGAGAGGGGGAGGAGGAGGAGAAGGAGGAGGAGGAGGGGGAGGGGGAGGG